TCAGCTTTGTGTTCTAAAATAATTCTTTGAAAAGTTAGGTCATTTTAAATGAGTTGGTCTGCTAGTGCCTTTTGAATCATTAATAACTGACTTCAAAGGAAAAGAAAAGAATTCCTCTGAGGCTTTAGAATGAGTAAGTCTTGATATTTACATGAAGATAGTCCCAAGTGAGGAATGAAGGCAAGACAATGGGAAAATATAATGCTACTAACAAAAATATTTTGGATAGCATGCTCTCATTTAAAAACTTTAAGGCTCTAATGAGTTCCTTTGTGAGTGTTTGCTTTCATCTTCTTTGAACTAGGAGCTCACCTGGCTGAGTGTTTGGACTCTTCATTTTCTGAAATTTTCCATCAGTACTAAGGACAAGATTATCTGATATGAAGAATACTTGGTCCCTGTTTACTGTCTAGGGATAGAGACTTAACACACTCCTCAGAATTCTGCAAATAGAATTTGAGAGTTAGACTTAAGATTGGCTGCATCCTAGTTTCTTTGGATGCCTAAAATAAATTCCTAGCTATTTGACACAAGGTGACCTCTCATTTTAATATTAAGTTCCTTCTCTCTCACATCATCTTTGTAATTTTTGGTAATATACTAGTTCATTATGGAAAGTAAGATTGAAAAAAATCATCTACGCAGATTTCCCTTGATGTTTGCTGTCTGGCTGAGACTATAAATTCCTTTCTACTGAACACCTGCTGTGTACTGGAATTTGGACAAGATGCTCTGAGGAGATGCCAAGGAAGTGTTACCCAATAAATAAACTAAACAAGTAGTAGGAGACTTGGCCCCTTGGGAATATATATTCTGGGTTAAAATAGGACATAGTGTTATATATTTACACACACATATTTAGAAAAAAAGAAATACAGGCTATGTAGTATTATGTATAATCTCACGTAGCATTTTAGAATGGAAAGGAAATTTACATGTTGTCATCATTGTCTGGGTGAGGAACATGAGGCCCAGAATATTTCAATGACTTGTTCAAGGTAGTTACCCTCAACAACAAACATTTTGTTAGATATCTGCCCTCTGAAAAGTTAGGCCTCAGGTATAGAAAGAGTTAAAGTTATCAAGAACTTAGTAAGTTATGAAGACTGAATGTTTGCATAAAAAGATAAATAGTAATACAAAGTCATGGGCATTACGTGTCAAGTGAGGGATACAGTTATATAGAGTTATACATAAGTTTAGAGGGAGTGGGTAGGGAAAATTTTTACCCTTAGGATAATCTAGGCCTTAGAGAAGAGAGAAGACTGGGTAATTATAGAGGGGAAACATTCAAAGTATGAGAACTTTGAGCTGAGCCCATCTTGCTTGGGAGGCAGAACAAGTAGACATAGTGTTTCACCTAGGAGAGCAATGAGATTAATAAAGTTGGAGAGTTAGGTAAATTGGAGAGGGCCTTAAATCTGAGGCCGAGGAGTTTGGTTTATCCTTACAGTGAAAAATTCCTGAGCAGGGAATTGTATATATAAATTAGTATTTTAGGAAAATTGATTCAGCCGTGTGGTGTGAAATGGAGGAAGAGAGAGCAGTTAGAGGACTGTTACAAAAGAGTCTCTACAGGGGTGATGGGAATGGAGAAAGGGGAGAGACTCATGTGATTTGAAGAAAACTAAATAGAATTTGGTAACTGCTTTTATGAAAAAGGATAGATAAGAACAATGCTCATGTTTTTATTCTGGGTTATAGCAGTAGGGGAGCTGGATTTGGTTGGTTTCTGATCTACTCTCCAAAGGGATACCCTGGTGGAAGCAAGCACTGAGTCTAGCCCAACACTCAGATAATACTGAATACAAAGAGTTTAAGTGGCTGGTGTGCATGCCTCGTAAGTAGTGGAACTTGGTGTAGAGCCCATTCTTTTGACTGTTGTTCAGTGCTCTTTCTATTATATCATACGGCTTACGAGGAGGTGGGTCAGGTGGTTAAAAACACAGAGCAAATGCCTGGAAGTGAAATGGGAAGTTGAAGACCACATTATGATGAGGTTTAACCACAAGCTGTTTCAGTTCTGCATAGATTTTCCTTATATTTAGATGCTAAATGTGTATACTTCTGTCAGGCTCGTAATATAACAGTGATCTAGGTTTCTTAGAGCCATCTTCTTCTGAGTTTCACTTCTTCACAGTCAAGGAAAAAGATTCTTTCAGATTTTGGATTTAATTGCATATATTCTCTGACCCCCAATTTTCAAGATAAAATAGTCCTTCTCCCTGCATGTAGTTAGGTTGCTTTGGTTACAAACTATAGGTGAAGTAGCCTCAAAGGCCACATTAGTCTTTTTGGAGGAGGAGAGTTTTGGACCCAAATCTTTCAAGCTTATTTACCCTGTCAGCAGTTATGAACAGTTTCCTTACACAGATCTTATTACCTAAAAAGGGCAGTAAATACTGTGAATCAATAGGGTATTTTTGCTAATGGTGTGTTTTTAGAGAATTGAATGGCTTTCTGAAGAATCCTTTATGTTTTGTTTTTAAATATGTAGTCAGGTATATTTAAGATGTGACTCCTTTTTTTTTTTTTTTTGCGGTACGCAGGCCTCTCACTGTTGTGGCCTGTCCTGTTGCGGAGCACAGGCTCCGGACGGACAGGCTCAGTGGCCATGGCTCACGGGCCCAGCCGCTCCGCAGCACGTGGGATCTTCCCGGACTGGGGCATGAACCTGTGTCTCCTGCATCGGCAGGCGGACTCTCAATCACTGCGCCACCAGGGAAGCCCGTGGCTCCTTCTTACTCCCTTTTTTTTCCTTTCCTTTCCTTTCCTTTTCTTTTCCTTTCTACCAGGCTTTTATCTATCTGGTAACAGATACCTGCAGATGCAAAATAGCATTTTCTGGATCAGCTAACACTATGTATCTACTATAAGGGTCTGGCACTGTTATGTAATTTCATCAGCCAAGATTAAATATTCCTGGATTTTATGTTAGCTCCCTTGTAGTCAACATATTCCAATGTTTGGCTTCTACAATTCTTATCCCATTTTAATCCTTGCCATGACTCTTCTTTTATAACTTGTGACCTGCCTGGGGAATAAAGGGAAGAAAACTTTGCTATTTAATAGTGAAGACCCTACCCTCAGCTATACCAAGTGTTTTATATAATCACCTCATTTAATACTGATAACAATTCCGTAAGTTAGGTAGATATTCTTATACCTGCTTGCAGGTAATTCATCCAAAGTATTTATTACTATGTTAATAAAATATTAATTCACCAGAATATTTAGGCGCTGTTTAAGGTGCTGAGGGATATCACAGTGAATATCAGATGAGGTTCCTGCTAAGGCACAGAGAAGTTAAATAACTTGCCCAAAGTCGCATAGCAAGAAAGTGGCAGAGGTAGGATTTAGGTATAGAACTGATGGATTCCAAAGGGAATGTCTGCAACAATTATTATCAATACAATATGCTACTGTTTACATGTACTACATGTTCTCTGTAATAGCACAAATCAAGCTATAAAAATAGGTGGGTTCCCCCAGTATTTCTTTTTAAAAAGGCTCTTGATGAATCTGAGAAATAAATCTGCCTTGGTGCTGGCAAGCACACCTGCACAGTAATGCTTTTCCTCTCTTCCCCTCCCCTCTGCCCACTCTCTCTGAACCCACTCATACCTGGGCATGAACTGGACAGTGAGACCTGCTTTGGCATTTGGATGTGTTTGTGCTTTGAGCACTGGGAGAGTTTTATTTGTTTCCTTGACTTCCTTGCCCGCTTGCAAGTTCTTTCTTGTAGCACAATGATGAGTAATGTGTTGTTAACCTCGTGATGTGGTCATGCCAGTTGGAATATTTTTTTCTTTTTCCCTTGGTTCTTTCTGATGAGTATGTGACTCTTGGGTCACACTTGCTTTCCACAGTTCATTCAAATAGAGAAGACTTTCTGTATTCAGAGGACTAGAAAATAGTCTCGAGGTTGAGAAGACTGTTAATATTCAATGTCTTCTGCCCAGCTGAAATCCAGTTTTGTTAGCATTTTAGGTTTATTCTTTAGCAAGTGTGATCCAAGAGAATACTTGTTAGATTATGGCCATTATCACCATGTGCCATATCTGGAATGAGTGGTATTCTGGAGTTAGGAGCTTAAAAACAGGCACAGGGAGTTTTTTCATGAGCATTACCTAGCAGAAAGCATTAAAAGATGCTTAAGTCTGTGAGAGCGATGAGCTAAATTCCAGTAGTTGAATTCTAGGGATTAATAAGGTGGGATCAAGGTTGTAAGTGTCAAAACTATTTAGTATTGGGGATCCAGTCAATTTAGTATTTGGATTCCAGGAATATCTGGGCATGGCTCATGAGGTTAATGAGATGATTTATGTGGGTGTGTCTAGCCTAGTGCTTGATACTTGATTTGGTGCACAGTAAACGTTAGTTAAATCTTAAAAAGATACTTGAATGCTGAGTATTATCACTTTGTCTTCCTAGGGCAGCTTCCTCATCATTAACTGTTCCTTCTTTAGAAGAGTATTTGTTGAGCCTTTACCTGTGGGTAAAGCATTTGGGAAAGGGGTTGGGGTAACAAAGATTTATAATATCAGATTCTTGCTGAGACTTAACATTTATAAATTGAATCAGTTAGGCCTAGCATATAAGGGAGTATTTGTGATTTTGCTTTGCTAGAGTCAACCCTTTGCTTTTTTGATAGAAATAACTTCTTGACCCGTTGGTAGAATTAAAAATGCTTGCTTTTCAATTCAGTTAAACTGGGTTTGATTTTTGATATTTGAGACAGTTGCCTATGATATTTCCTTTTATCCCCTCTCCATTTTTTTTAGTAAATAAGATAATATATTTGAAAGTGTTTTGTGAACCACAGAGCTAGTGGTTGCTATCACCACCACCATCATTACTAATAATAACATTAAAAATATTAATGGAATGGGATTCATTTTTACAGGGGTTGGTTTCCTGGATTAATTTCAAGGAGAAGAACTCAGAGGACAATGGGATATTTGCCAGATGACTTGTGTACTAATTGATACCTTTTGTAGTTTTTCTGGAAGGGAGAAGGAAAAGCAGATACCTGACACCCTGAAAACTTGGCCTGGTGCTATGTCTTCATGAAGGGTTACCTATACTATACCTGGTGCTCTGTGGTGGCAAGAAAATTTAACAGGATTTATCATCTGTTTGACCTTAGAGGCTTATAGTACATTTTACTGGAAGCATCTGTCTACATAGGAAACAACTCATCCCAGTTTATTGGTAAGATCAACCACATTCCTATATTATGGATCTTATAATAAATAACAAAATTATGTTGGTCCAGGATAGTATCCGCCTGGCCTCCCAGTGTAGGAAGATTGAGGAAACAGTGCCTTTGACCAAAATATTTGGTTAGATGTTATCATTAAAAGCCTTTACAGTCAACTTCTGATGATTGGTGTTCTTAGAGAAGAACATGTGATTTTTATAATCCAAAAGAGCAACTTGTTCAGCAAATTTTGAAAAAACCTCTTACTTTAAAAAATTTCCTTGCCATCCTTTTCTGTCTCTAGGCCTGGCACTCAGTAAATCTTTGTTGAATAAAGGAAGTTAGCTGATACTGATCTTAGGGTTTTCTCTGGAACCAGCCCATTAGATGAACTTCTAGAAAGCAGGGATAATGCCTTATTAGTTGATGCGTGATGTGTCCCCTCCGCTTAGCAGACTGCCTGGCACTGAGGGGGTCCTTAATAAGTGCTTATTGAATGATTGAGTCAGGAGGTTAAAGTTTTCATAAGGGGAGAGTTGTGTGACCTCGGTGCTGCTGTGCCGATGGTGGCCCTTCCTAAGAGGAAGAAGAAATGTAGCTTTTCTGCAAATAAACATGAATAAATGTGAATGCGAGGAAAGTGATTGCTTTGATGCTTCCAGGCATTTTACATTTTTGGACAAGGAGAAGTAATGTGTTAAAGGTTGATGCTTTATCTCTTGGTTTTTATGTTTTATTCTGTTCAAAATTTAGTTATTGCTGTGATTTCTTAACGTATGAGAAGTGTATTATAGCTTCAAACTATCAGTAGAAAAGAAAAAATCTCTCCCTATGTCATACATAATTTTATAATTTTATAAAACTTAAATTTTACAGAACTTCAGACCTTAGGGATATAAGGCTAAAAGAATACAGTATTTTCAAATCCAATTTATATTTTTAGTGGTGACGATCAGAACAAAAATGATGATTTGAGCATGTTTTCATGATTTTCTTTATAGATGATTTCCCTTCTCCAATATGGTTTGCTTAAGTGATTAAATTTCCCAGGTACACATTTTTTTCTTTGATATACATCTGTAGAAGTAAGAGATTTATCTGGGTGGCAGGAGGAAAAGACATTTTCATATATCAATCCACAGTGCAGATTACATGGAGAATTGAAAATTATCAATATATATGAAGTCAAGTGAAGATTTCTGGAATGGGAGTTAACAGATTTATGTTCTATACACAGTTTTCTCGCTAGTTAGCTGTGCGGCTTTGGGCAAGTCACTTAATCTCACTCACCTGGTTCTCAGTGTTCTTATCTGTAACTTGAGGGTATGGAATGAAATGATCTCTGATATCCTAGTTCTAAAGTCCATAATTCTAGAGTGCCAAACAAGGAAAATAGACTGACTTTCTGTACCTTACCACCAGCCTTGTTCCAAATAAGACCTGAATGTGAAATGTTAATTATGTAAATATATTAGAAGTGTATAACTAGGTAGACTAGACTTGTCAGATTGTATTATATGCTTGTAACTAATTTTATGTGCATAAATATGAGGCTTGCTTGCTTTTTTTAAAAAATAAATTTGTTTGTTTGTTTATTTATTTATTTTTGGCTGCATTGGGTCTTTGTTGCTGTGCGCAGGCTTTCTCTAGTTGTGCCGAGCGGGGGCTACTCTTCGTTGCCTTGCGCGGACTTATCGCTGCTGTGGCTTCTCTTGTTGTGGAGCATGGGCTCTAGTCACGTGGGCTTCAGTAGTTGTGGCGCATGGGCTTAGTTGCCCTGTGGCATGTAGGTTCTTCTGGATCAGGGATCGAACCCGTGTCCCCTTCATTGGCAGATGGATTCTTAACCACTGTGCCACCAGAGGCTTGCTTGCTTTTAAAAGAGAAATTATTATCACAAAAGGTACAACCTATACAAATGAATGAGACCCAAATAATGCTCAGGATACTCTGGGTTGGAGTTTCTGCTTCTTAACTCTAACCTGGAAATAGAAATAGGTGTGTGTTGGCAGGATTGCTGGGGGATGGGGAGGGTGGTGGTGGCTAGAAGACAGTGTGGGTGAATGTGGATAGTAGTTATAAAAGCAAAGTATTAAAGAGTTCTTCAGCTTGTGGACTTTGCATGGCTAGACTGATTTCATTTTGCTATAAATCCCTGGAGAACTGATATGAACCCTGTATTCAAATTCAGAATATGTAGGTCCAAGCTCCTTGCTATCTGGGTATCACTCAAGCTTTGTAAGCTTCTCTCTGTGTATGTGTTTTCCATCAGAAAAGAGGGGATTAAAAATCTCAAAGGGTGTATAATTTTTAAAATTGTTATTAAATGAGGCCATATTTGTGAAAGTGCTTTAAAAACAAAAAATTACAGCGAAAGAGAAGCTATTCTTAGTGAACAGACAGCTGTACAAATGTATTTGTTCATATAGACCTTTATTTTACATGTCTATGGGGTGAATGGTGACATTTGAAACCCGTAAATATTCACCAGCCTATTTTAGGTATAGATGAGCTCTTAGTTAACCACACACATGGACTACCATGAATAATTTAGAACCACAAATATTTGTTGGGCATCTACTATGTGCCAAGCAGTTTGTTAGGCCTGTTTAGAATTTTTAAAAGTATAAAAGAGAGGTGCCAAGCTCAAGGATCTTAATTCTACCTAGAATGTATCTTGTCCTCCAGCCTTACACATCCTAAAGACTAAGTTTGAGAAACTTCCCTAACCCATCAAGGTAAACTAGTTGCTCCTAATACCTCTTCCTACCCCACTGGGCACTAAAAGCATGTTTAGATTTCTCACACCAGACTGGAGTGCCTTGAAGGTAGGACTCTGGCTTCTCTTCTTCATTTGTATCCCCAGGCTGTGGTGGACCCCGCTTGGTAAATTTTGAATGAATGACTGTTAGTCAAATTGGCGAGGTAAATTTCCGGAAGGCCAACTAATATGATAAGGCAATATATGATAACAGCAAGTGCCACTGAATTTTTCACATATTGTACCTGTAGGAGTTCAAATGAGGATTAGATATAGCCAGGAAAGATGGAACAGTGGAACTTGCAGGTGGAGAATTAAAAAAAAAAAAAAATAGTAATAAAAAGCGTCTTTCTTTGAACTGAATTATATCATTTTATAAAACGCAGATTTCATTTTCTAATTGAGGCTTTTATAAAAATTAGTAGTTGTATGCTGAAGGAAGTTAATTTATCAGAAGGAATTTACAAAGTGAATTAATTTCCTGTGGATAACTAATCTCAGATAGGATAGTAATTGGAATTTTTTTCCCTTCTGCTATTTCTTCCCTTGAATGGAAGTTCTGTAATTGACAGTGAAATGACCAGTAGTTAGGAATCAAGAAGGGGAGAGAAGGTTGTCAGCTACTGAATATTTGAGGGTTGATTCTAGAGAAATAGTGTGTTTTGCTATTAGACTAGCCTCTGTTGATTTGTAGTATTTATTTTTCTCTCATGTCGAAAGTTCAGGGCTTCCCTGGTGGCGCAGTGGTTGAGAGTCCGCCTGCCGATGCAGGGGACACGGGTTCGTGCCCTGGTCCGGGAAGATCCCACGTGCCGCGGAGCGGCTAGGCCCATGAGCATGGCACTGAGCCTGCGTGTCCGGAGCCTGTGCTCCGTAAGGGGAGAGGCCACAACAGTGAGAGGCCCGCATACTGCAAAAAAAAAAAAAGTTCAGTAATGAGAATATTTTTTTAAATAAATTTATGTATTTATATATTTTTTATTTTTGGCTGCATTGGGTCTTCATTGCTGTGCGGGCTTTCTCTAGTTGTGGCAAGCAGGGGCTACTCTTTGTTGTGGTGCACGGGCTTTACTTTGTGGTGGCTTCTCTTGTTGAGGAGCACGGGCCCTAGGTGCACAGGCTTCAGTAGTTGTGGCATGTGGGCTCAGTAGTTGTGGCTTGTGGGCTCTAGAGCACAGGCTCAGTAGTTATGGCACACCAGCTTAGTTGCTCTGCAGCATGTGGGATCTTCCTGGACCAGGCTTGAACCCATGTCCCCTGCACTGGCAGGAGGATTCTTAACCACTGTGCCACCAGGTAAGTCCTATTTTTAAAGGCTCAGTAGAACTTCTGTTTTTACAGGCTATTCTTTTTTTTTGTGGTATGCGGGCCTCTCACTGCTGTGGCCTCTCTGGTTGCGGAGCACAGGCTCCGGACGCGCAGGTTCAGCGGCCATGGCTCATGGGGCCCAGCTGCTCCGCGGCATGTGGGATCTTCCTGGACCGGGGCAGGAACCCGTGTCCCCTGCATCAGCAGGCGGACTCTCAACCACTGCGCCACCAGGGAAGCCCTACAGGCTATTCTTTTAAAAGTTGAACTTACTGAGAATCAAACCTTGAGCTATCCTTGACCTTAGCTGAAAGGAAAAAGAAAAAATTCATTGTGTGTGGCAAATAGACATACTGGTCTGGATCTAAAAAAAAATAAACATTAACATGGTTTCTGTTTCTATTCAAGTTACTCTTGTGCCAATATTATAATAATAGACTTTCTCTGTGACTGTCTCTGCCCTTATTTTTCCAAAGGTCACTTCCATTGTACAAGCCTTCCAAATTATTAAATTTCCCAAATAACTGTAATCCAGGGAGCCTTTTATCAGTAGCACTGAAAAGACAAATACCAGTTCATAAGGAGTTCTCTGTGAACTTCTGTCTCATTTGTATATTAACATTTGGCTATTTATGGGATTTGTCTCTTAGAAATTTATTTTGCTGTTCGTAGCCCGATAAAAACTAGAAACTTTTGAAAAGAAATAGTTATATCTTGTTCTGACTCATACACATACCAGTTGTAGTGATAAAGTCCAGGGGCCAATTCTTGAGTCCTTACTGGTGTGTATACACAATAACATTGTTTTGGGAGTGGTAAATTATATGATCGGGTTAAGTTTTTTTCTCTTGAGTTTGTTTTTGGGGGAGAAAACAGACATTCCCCAAGTATACACTGTAGTGGAGGTAGAAAACGTCTCAGAATTGTGCAGGGTGAATAGGA